AGTTACGTGAGAACCGAGGATTTCCGAGGTTCTCACGAGAAGAGGAATTTGTCCTCAAGGACGAGAATTCGGGTTCTCAAACTGCTTTTTCTAAAAATAGAACTAAAAAATTCGCGACAAGTACTGTACTGCTGTATAGCTTTATTCATAACAAGAGTGACATTGTTTATAGTGAGAATATCTCATTACAATAACACAGTGCATGGAATAAAAATCTTGTTATAACAATTATTTTGTTCATTATTAAGATGAGAATCATGTTCATTATTAAGATGAGAATCATGTTCATTATTAAGATGAGAATCATGTTCATTAGATGAGAATCATGTTCATTATTAAGATGAAAATCCTGTTCATTATGGTGAGAATCATCTTGATTCTAATGATAATCATGTTCATTGAAATGAGAATATTCACATTATGACAAAAATTTGGTATAATGAAATATTTGTTATAAAAAAATTTTATGATGAAAATCAAACATAGCAAAAATCAAATATTCATTGTAAACAAAGTTTGTTATAACAAAATTCTTTTGAACAGAATATTAGTTGCAACAAAAATCTTAAAAACAAATGATCTGATATAACAAATTTTTGTTCTGTTATAACAAATTTCTGTTACTGTATTACAAAAGTTTTGTTTTAACCAAACAAAATTTAATTATAATGAAAATTTGTTATAACGAAATTTCTTTTATAGCGAAAAATTTGTTACTTTTTTGTAACAATGTAACAGCAATTTGTTGTAACCAAACAAAAATTCGTTATAACGAAAATTCGTTGTAATGAAAATTCGTTATAACAAAATTTCTTTTATAACAAAAATTCGTTACTGTTTATTATAACAATGTAACAGCAATTTGTTATAACCAAACAAAAATTCGTTATAATGAAAATTCGTTGTAACAAAAATTCGTTATAACGAAATTTCTTATATACCAAAAATTTCTTACTTTTGTTATAACGATGTAACAGCAATTTGTTATAACCAAACAAAAATTCGTTATAACAAAAATTTGTTGGAACAAAAATTCGTTGTAACGAAAATTCGTTATAACGAAATTTCTTTTGTAACAAAAATTCGTTACTTTTCATCGTAACAATGTAACAGCAATTTGTTATAACCAAACAACATTTTGTTATACTGAAATTTCTTTTACATTTTTTTTGTTATAACAAATTTCTGTTTGGTTATAACAAATTTTTATTATTTTTGTTTGGTTATAACAAATTGCTGTTGTAATAAGAATTAGTTATAACAAAATTCCTTTTATAACAAAAAATCGTTATTTATTATTATAACAAATTTTTGTTTGGGTTAAACAAATTTCTCTTATAACAAAAATACGTTGTAATAAATATTAACAAATTTTCATTATAAAAGAAATTTCGTTACAGCAATTTATTGTTATACTAACAATAAATTATAGATAATTTTCATTTTAACAGGAATTTTGTTATAACACATTTTTGTTGTAACAAAAATTCGTTATAACCAAACAAAACAAATTTTTGTTATTACAGAAATCATTATAACCAAACAAAAATTTGTTTTAACAGATCATTTGTTGTAAAGAATTTTGTTGTAACTAATATTCTGTTAAAAAGAATTTTTGTTGTACACATTTTTGTTAGAATGAATTTCTGTTACAACAAATGTTTGATTCTTGCCTTAAAATTATTTTTTATAACAAATAATTTATTATACCAAGATCCAAAAAACTTTCCTAATTACAAAAATGTCTGTTATAACAAAAATTTGTTTTTGTCATAACAAAAGTTTGTTTTTGTTATAACAAATACTCTGTCATAACTAAATATGATGAACTATTCCTTATAACAAAAATTTCCATTATAATGAGTTTTCTTTATAACTGAAATGTTTGTTATAAGAAAATATTCACTATTCCCAGATTTTCATTAAAATGAGATCATTGTTCTGTAATGAACATGTTTCCCTTTATTATACCAAATGAGATTCCCATTATAAATTTAGAATGCACAAGATACCATAATGCCCAATTAGGGCTACTCATGTGCAACAAATTGTAAAAGTTACAGTAGGTGCACAGCTGTGATCCAAATAATTCTACACAATTTAGAGTTACAAAAGCATCATGTATCCCAAGGGTAAGCCCACAGCTGGAACACATTGGGGCTATTCCTGTGAAGAGACAAGAAGGTCACACAAGAAGTAGTCCAATTTTGCCCCAAAATGCATCCAAAGTTTATTTTATCCCCTAAAGTAATCCAAAACTAGTCCGCCTGAATCCTAAATTAGTCCGCATACATCCAAAACAACTCCAAGTTCACTGCTGAGCCAAAGCAGACTTGGAGCTGTTTTGGATGTGTGCGGACTAGTAGTCCGCACCCATCCAAAAAACTCCAATTCCACTGCTGAGCCAAAGCATACTTGGAGTTGTTTTGGATGTGTGCGGACTAGTCGTCCGCACCCATCCAAAAAACTCCAAGTCCACTGCTGAACCCCAGGATACTTGGAGAGGTTTTGGATGTGTGCGGACTACTAGTCTGCACACATCCAAAACAACTCCAAGCCAGGACATTTTTTTGGAGTTGTTTTGGATGTGTGTGGACTACTAGTCCGCACACATCCAAAACAACTCCAAGTCCCCTGTTGAGCCCAGGCAGCACTCAACAGAAAAAGGGAGTGCAGGGATGTCCTTGAGGCCAGGAAATACATTCCCTCACCCTTACCTTGGGGACATCCCTTTCTGTCCCAGGGTCTCCAGATGGGGAAGAGTCTTCCTGCCTGTTCAAATTAGTCAGGCTGGAAGCAGCAGGGCAACCTCTTTGGGAACCCCCAGAAACGGTTGCATGCTACTAACTCACCAAGAAGCAGCAACCACCAGTTATTGTGTGTTTGTGTCTGAAGGTTGGAGTGCTTGGTTTTGGCTGGCTTTGTGTGATTCTGAAAAATGTGAACTATTACTGTATCTTGTAATCTT